ACAGCTCCACTTCCATCTTTTTAATAGTTTATCAGACAGAAGAGTCTCACAGATTTTTGCCTGCCAGGCCTGGCTTCAAAACATGATCCTCGGATCTACCTCTTGAGTAGCTGGGATTACAGGTGTGAGTCACCAGGCACTCAGCAGAGACAATAATTTGTCATCTTCCTTCCTATCAGCAAATGTTGCTCTATAACTCTCCTATTTACAGGATTTGATTCCCTCTTAAAATGGAGAAAAACAGTTTGTAGATTGTTTTTTGTGTTTGTTGTACTTTTATATGTTTTCTTACATGTGACTGGAAGCAGTTGAGGGCTGAAGACAGCAAAGTCTACTCTGTTGTAGTGGGATGATTCTGGGAAAAAAGAATTCCTTCTGGGGATACAGAGATGATGGTCCTGAATTCTGCAGGGCAGGCTGTCCTGGGCCCATCGCCCACACACCAGCTCACCATGCCGATGAGGGAGGGCCCTTTAGTGCTTATCAATCTCTTCTTTTGCAGAATGAAAATAGAACTGAGTTATCAGGGAGGTGGGGGGGGCATCTTCATCAAACCCAACCTCTCCGACTCACATGTAAGATTTTAATTATAGAAATCTTGCTGCCTAAAACTTAAAGCTACATTCCTGATATATATATATATATATATAATTTTTTGCTAAACATTGACTGCAGCGAATAGCTAAGATGTGGCATATTGATTTCTTGTTGTGAAGTGAACTGTTCAAGCTCCATTTAAGATTTTCATCTTGCGTGTAGCCCTGAGCACATCAGAGCACCATAAATTAGTTAAATTGCACATTTATCACAAATGTTATTTTAAGATACTGCATAAATGTTGGTGGTTGGGAAGATATACAGTAGAGCTGCAGTGAAGCCGGGCATGGGTGGGGTCAGGTTGGGGTCACCCACACCTGTGATTAAGCCCCACCCCCCCAGCCCCAGCCCACATCCCTTCCATCCTCCTGGGAGCCACTTGAAAACCCTTGAGCTTGAACACGGAGTCCTTCCTCCACACACCTCCTGCAGACTACAATAGACTTGGAATTCAAGTGGAGATGCTTCTCGTCCATTTCAGGGAAAACCAGGCCACACTAAGGGATGGGTGGATGGTTCCGCTTGGCAATAACCAGTTCTTTAGCTGGAATAGGGCTTGGTAATGATGGCAGACAAGGGCCTGCATTTCTAAGTGGGTAGCTGGATCTGCCAGCCTCCCCAAATGAAGAAAACCCAGCCCCAACCCCAGACTAAGAAGACAGGCACTGAGGTTTGCATCGAAGGCTTCCTAATGTATTTCCCTAAGACAAAAGTAATTTTTGAATCCCATTAATACAAGCAGGCGTTTCCTGGCTGAATCCAAAATGCCAAATGGCAATCTATACTACCACCCATTATGACCATTGATCTTCAGCTCTCTCTCTCTCACACACACACACACACACACACACACACACACACACACAGACACAGACACTCTCTCACACACACACACACACACACACACACACACACACGAGCTCTGAAGATCATCTTGAGAATAAAGTGAAGATGAGCAGAATATTTGGGTCCTTCTCCCCAATTATAAAGAGGGGGGACCATCCTTGTTGGTATGACTCCCCCCCCTCCCTTCAAGCCCCACAGACATAGTGCTGATGGAGGCGTTGTCAGTTGAAGCTGTGAAGAGGCAGGACTTTGGTTCTAATAAACCACCGATGCGATGCTATATTTAACCTGTGAAAAATCCAAGACTGGAAATCTGGGCTGCGGGATGTGAAGGCGCAAAAAGCACAGGAGAGAGAGAGAGAGAGAGAGAGAGAGAGAGAGAGAGAGTAGGTGTGTGTAGGTGTGTGTGTGTGTGTGTGTAGGTGCCTCTGTCCCGTGAGCCAGGTTCCTAGGGGGAGTTGAACTGATGTTGAACCCTCAGCCCTTGCCAGGTAGAGGTTGACAGTGTTAATCAGGGAAAGGCAGTGGGGGCTGGCCAGGATGGATATAGGCGGGGCCAGGTAGGAGGTGGGCAGGGCCAGGAGGGAGAGAGGGGGGCTGGCCACCAGGGTGGGGTAGATGGGGCCAGGAGGGAGGGAGGTGGGACCAGGAAGTAGGCGGGGCCAGGGGAGTGATGGATAAGGTAGGTGAGTTTAGACAGGAAAGTTTTCTCATTCACCTGTGGAAACAGACCACTGGCCTGTGATCTGCTCCCTGCCAGAGCGGAACTGTATACTACTGTTAACCAAAAACTCAACTTTAAACTCTACTGAGGTCATTCTCCCTAAAAGTCCAAAGAGAGAGAGAGAGAGAGAGAGAGAGAGAGAAAGAGAGAGAGAATACCAGAGGAAGGGGGGGGAGCCATAGACGGAATGTAATGTTTGGACTCAACTTGACAGAAAAAAAGGGGGTAGGTGGGAGAAAAACCGTGGGTGTATTGCTTCACTTCTCTGAAAGGGCTTAATTTAAAATTTTAATAAAAGAGTATTCTCTCCTCCTCCCTTCCTCCCCCCACCCTACACACACACACACACACACACACACACACACACCCCTTCAAGTTGAGGTGTTTTATGTATTACATGGATGTAACAGATCTCTCATTTGTATAATTCTAGGTTAAGAGCTCTGATTCTGCATAACTGCAACCGTACTTGGAATAGAGTAATAAAGGTATTTTACAATTTTACATGATTTTCCTAGCGTTTACTTGGCATGATTTGCCAGGGCCAATAAAAGCTTGTGATTATCATATAAATGCGTTCTCTCCTCCTCCTCCTCCTCCTCCTCCTGTGCAGAGATCCATACTCCTCTTACACACCCCCATCCTCCTTCTCCCCAACCTTGCTATCTCTGGGTGTTTCAGCAAAGGGAAGAACTAACAACCCCTACCCCCCTACCCAAGGACCAAATTGGCTCTGCTTTTGACTATTTGAAAGCCTAAATCCATAGGGATTTTCCATCATGCACAAAACCTTCTTTATCAGCCTTCATTCACCCTAATGCTAGGTTGGGGAAGGGTTCGTGGGGGGGCTGGGACTTCTCTGTACCCAGAAAGGACCCCTTCCCTTCAAGCCTTGGTCTCTCTTAAGGGTCACCTGGTAGGATCAGATGCTCTGGTCCTCAGTATTTAGGGAATATCCCTTTTAATCACAGACAGTGTAACCTCACGTGCATTTCTCCCTTTTCTTTCCAATTGCTATTCTTGGGGGAAGTTCACTGCCAGACATCTGTGTAAGAAAGTGCTCCCGGCTTGCAAAGTTCACCGAAAATCTCCCCTGATTTACGTGCAACCTCCGACTGACTGCCGGCACCTGGCAGACACAGCAACCAACTCCAAGTCGTAAACAGATCGCATACAATTTAATTTTAATGTGCTCGTTAGTGCTAGCACATTTCAGACATAATTGTGAACGCAACACAAAATTATAGCAAAAAAAAGGAGAGAGAGAGAGACAATTTTAATGCTGCCATAGGAAAAAGAAGAGGGAGTTATATGAAGAGTCATAGAATGGTGTTTCGTTGTTAACCATCAGAATAGGGCACATAGTGTTGGGTTGTCTGTTTACATGCCAATATTTTATACATAGGTTCTCCGATGATGTCAGCTGTCAGTTACTTCTGCAAAATGAACTGCCAAAAAAAAAAAATAGAACAGAACTGCATGGAGAGCCGGTAACCAGGGGTTACCTTTCACAGAGGCCTAAAGATAAAACAACAATAATAATAACATAGGATTAAAAAAACACTTCGGTGTAGGATCTTGGGAGGATAATTAGGACGAATCAAACCAGAAAATTACCAATGGAAATAAAAGGCAATCTACAATATTAAAAAAAATCTCAACCAAGAAGGCTTATAAATATGAGGGGAGGGAGTTGGGGGGGGGGAATTGTATTACAGAATTTCTCATGACTTTGAAGCAAAGTATTACAGTACAAATATTTTAAAGGCTTTAATCAATGTTTAGGAAATACAGTACAAGTTCTTGTTATTGTTGTTACTGTGGTTTTTTTTTCTTTTCAAATAGACTTAACCCTTGGAGCACTGAGTTTTATTTTGAGTATTCTTTAATTTCTAATAAATATTTTCAAAAAAATCATGTGCAAATTACTATATGAATGCTTGCCAAGGATGATTTTTCCTGGGCTGGAAAAACATGGTAATAGAATGCTAATAAATATGTATAATTTAAACATGAACCTCTATCCGTATAGATGTACTGTTTAGCAAACAATTATACTTTGCTTTGTGATAACGTTTCTGTATACTTTATAAATGCTATCTGTGGTATCTTCTGTATAATTTACAATGTTTCCATGTTAAAACAAAGCAAAACAAAACAAACCCCATAGACCTTTAAAAAAATGAAAAAGGAAAAAAAAATACACTACAGATAGGCATGGCTAATACCAGCGCATACAAGTACATAAAACACGGTTGCTATATAAATACAAGAAGGAGGAAAAAAAGGGCATTTATCCACCATCACATTTTTTCCCATAAGAGTCTGAAATCTATACAATATATACATCTATGTTTCAATGTGAAAATAATATTCTTTTAAATTTCAAGGCGTGTTATACCCCTGCAGACCTGCATAAATGGAGATTCATATTATCAATTATAACTAAGCTGGTAAGGAAAAACTTTTTTTAAAAAAACAAAGCTTCATACATTATTATTATTATTAATAATAATATTATTATTTTGTTTTATTTTTTTATAACCAAATGAATGCAAAAGTGCTTCAAAGTACTCAGAGGGCGAAAGATGAAAAGGGTGTAAAGTCTTGTGGAAAAAGTATGTGCCCAGATTTCTTTATAAATGCTTAATTAAACTGTCAATGCATGCAGCTTTGAAACACCTGGAGGAGAGTGTAGGAAAGGGGTGGGGAAGGGGAGGAACGGGTTGGGGAGGGGTGAGGGGGCAGGGCAAGGCAGGGCGGGGCCAAAGGAGATGCTCACAACTAAATCCCATTTACACCAAGTTCCAAACACTTACCACTGCGTTTTAAACCTTCATTATTTTATACCAGTTAACAGCTGATTATGCACCTCTATTAAACACTGTACAGTTATACAAAAAAAAAAAAAACCAGTCCGGCCCAGAATAATTCTCCATAGTTAACATAAGAACATGTACCCAAGAAACAAGATAGAATGGCCTTAAGGTGCCTTCAAACAGTTTTCTCTCAAAGCAACACTGCAAGCATTCGCCAGCAGAAGCAAATGCTACTGCTTCTCCAGCTCAGACACATACAGAAGATGGTCCTCGGGCGACTTCCCGTGTGTTTTGCTAAGGTGAAGCTTCACGGCATGCTTGCTGGCAAAGGTCCGGTTGCAAAGCTTACACTGATACGAGGTCCCTAAGTCTTCCTCTGGGGAGGAGGTCACCAGTTTGTCTGATGATGGCGACTTGGTTTGTGCTATTTGATGATTAATCTGTTCGGTGGACAATTTGGATAAGTCTCGTAACCGAAAACCTAGATGTGACTCCAAATGACTAATGTAAGTGGATGGAGTCCTGATCTGGGATGCACAGTCGTTACAAAAAAACACAGGGTGGCCAGTGTCCAAGTTTTTCAGGAACTTTGTCCCACCTGTCCTTCGAAGCTGGTACTTCACGTTGGCCAGCCAGTGACTGATGGTGGTCATGGAGAGCCCGGTGAACCGGGAGATGTGCATGCGCTCCTGAGGGCTCAGGTCAGACATGATGTATTTGCCCTCTGAGGTTTGTCTCAGGCTGGCGGCGAACTGGGCCTGGAGGATCAGTAGATGCTGTGGGTTCCAGTTGGACTGACGCCCTTTTCTCTTCTGCGCAGGTGTGGCCTCCTCGGCCTCCTCCAGGGCGGTCCCGTCAATGTCAGACTTCTCCGAGATGCTGGAAGGAGTGGAGGATTTGGACGTGTGGCTCTCTGTCAAGTTCTTCAGCATATCAGAGATGTCTGACAAGGCGTTCTCGCGCAGCGGCGAGTTTGACATGAAGGAGACGACGGCGGATGTCTTGGCCGTTGTCACCAGAGATGAAGAGGTGGCGGGGGAGGCGGACGTGGGGGATAAAAGCCCTGAGCCCCCGGAACAGCCTTTGTCACTCTTGCCTTTCGTCAGATCTATAGGTTGATCGTTGTTGACGTGGTAAAAATAACGATCCAGGTGGTCAGCCTTTTTGGCCAGAGGCAGGGGTGGCGGCGGGGTAGCCACGGCCGCCTTCTCCGCCAGACTGTTGCTCATCTTGAAAAGCATACTCATGGGGTCCAAGGTGGGCAGGGAGGGCTTGGCAGCCTTGCCCAAGTGCACGTTCATTACCGACTGCAGGGCACTCAGAGGGTTCACAAAGGGTTGCTCCGGGGGGTGTTCGGTGATGATGGCGGTGCTGCCACTCAGGCTACTGCTCAGGGGCTTTGCCAGCTCTTTACCGTTCTCCACCGGTTCTGCCTTGGGGCTCCCCTCTTTGCAGCCATCCCGAGGGGGGCTGCTGGGGCTCCCCTCTTGGCTTTTAAAGCTCCCGTCGTTGGCGGCTTCCGTCTTGATGGGGTCGCTCAGTTCACTGCCACACGGAGAAGGGGTGGCCCTCTTGGGCGGGGACAGTTTGGCTTCAGGCTCCTTCATTTTCTCCTCCACCTTGGCGACTTTCTCGGTGACTTTCTTTACCAGTTCTTCCATGGCGTGGAAATTGGTTTTGGGCATTGGGGATGTTTGGCTACTGGGGGGTGAGATCAGGGCCTGGCTTTTTGTGGGGGATACAATCTCATTGCTGCCAAACAAGGGTTTCAAGGCCGTGTTCTTCCCAGAGGAGCCCAAAGACAATTTCATCATGTTGGGAAGCTGGTAGGCAGCATGGATGCTGGGGTAACCTCCCCAGCTAGGGGTGCCATTCTGAGCCTTGTTGATGGCAGACGTCACTGTGTTTTCTAAAGATTTGAGGATGTCCAAGCCCCCCTTCGGGCTCTCCTCTAAGTCATTCTCCGTCAAATAATGATACTTGGAGGAAATATCATACTTCTCCTCTTCCTCGCTGGGCTTCTCTTTGTCCTTCGGCTTCTCCTCTGTGCCAACTTTGTCTTTCTCCACTTCCTTCTTGATGTCTAAGTTCAGTTTGGGGGAGACACTGGCGGGCGTGTTGGAGGGGGATGTGAAGGTGGTGGCTGCCAGGGGCACTGACTGGACCTTTTCATCCAGTAGGGTGGTGACAGTGGGGGTGACCGGCGTCTCCATGATGGGTTTCCCCTTCTTCATGGCTGAGTTGGTGACCTTGATGAAGTGGCCCGTGACCATCATGTGGGCTGTGAGCTCCTGCAGCGTATCGTGGGAACTGCCACACTCCATACACTTGAGGATCTGGGATTTGCGGGCTTCGAAATGCCAGGCATAGCTGGCCCCATTCTGGTGGCCGTACCGGTTATTTGGCGTGATGTAAGGGTTGGAGTTCTTCTGGAGCGTATCATTGGTATCCGAGATGGTGGCTTTGGGGGTTCCCCCTGTGGAATCCGGGGAGCTGGGGAGCTCCAATTCCAGCGATGCTTTTTTCCGCGTGGTAGGGATGATTTTTGCGGCCACGGGAGTGACCGGTTCCTTAAGAGGCACTTTCTGGTAGTGTTTTGTTTTGATCATGTGCACGCTCAGATCCTGCAGGGACTCAAAGGAGTGCCCGCAGTACATGCACTTGAGGACTTTCTGAGCATCTTCTTTCCCTTCCATCTCCAGCAAAGAGCGCTTGCGTGGCTTGGACCACCGTTTGGGGTTATTACTGTCTGTCTCGTGGTTATCATCACGGTAGTGGCCTGTCTCGTTCATGTGCACCGTCAGCTCTACCAGGGTGTCATAGGCCGCACTGCAATCCTTGCAGCGGAACTTGCTGGCCCCTGTGAAGATGGAGCCGTAGAGCTTGCTACTCTGCCGATACAGCTGCACAGTACTGAAGAGGCTGGGCTCAGGCAGCATGCGACTCTGTGACACCTGTTGTAGGGTCTTAGCCATGGCACTCTGATGCCAATCAAAGCTACTGCTGCCACAGCTGCTGCTGCTGCTACTGCTGCTGCTGCTGCTCCCACCGGTGTTCTTCTCCGACGAGGGCTGGTGGAGGTTGAGATTGAGGTTGGACCAATAGGAGTTGGACAGGAAATTGTTGTACACAGCCTTCATCTGCTCCAGGCTGTCTGAGATGGCGGTGGTGTCTTCCAAGGGCACGGAGACATCTTTCGTCTCTTCTTCGATCTTGATGGAGCTGTTTTCAAAGTCAGCCATTCGATCACTGGTCTCACTGATGTGGGATTCGCTGTCCATTTCGTGGCTGGAAAATTCAGCAGCTGGAGAATTCTGGTAACTGGGGCACGTCTTGCTGAGTTCCTTTTCTGGACATATGTACTTAGCCGAGGGTTCTCCATTTGCCGTGTGATCTTCTCGGTCTGCGTCTTCATCTACCAAGGCGGCTGCTTTTAATTCATCGGAAACATAGGCTGTCGTGATAATAGGCGGAGATGAGGGATAGGCAGGAGAGAGAAAGAGAGAGAAGAAGAAAGAGGAGGAGAGAGAGAGAAAAAAGAAGCGTTAAGTAAATGTCTATCCAATTGGGAATGGTCTTGCTTTTCTAGAAAGAAGTAAAAGAGATGGACACATTTTGCAAAAAAAAAAAAATTAAATAGTTAAAACGTGGTGTTTCTTTGGAGCAAAAAAAAAAATCTGCTCTTCAAACATAATTTGCCACCTTATTCTTCTCAAGGGGCAACAGCTTGAAATTAAAACTAAATTTGAAATTAATGAAGCACATTCTGGAGGTGGCATTCACTTCTAAAGTAATAAATTACTCGCATCAACCTCAGAGACAACAGTTCCTGTCTGTCAATTAATATGTCTTATGCTTCTCCTGGCCCTAATGCATTTCTTAACAGACAGATTCACAATTTAAATTAAGCAAGCGATTTTTTTTCACTCATTACGTTTTTGAGTCCCAGTCTTTAATAAATATAAAGTACAAAAGCATCAATAACATTTCTTTTTCCCCCAAGTAAAAAGAAAGTACATCAATTGTAATAAATTAAATACAAGGTTGGGTGACAATTGTTTTTTAATCCCTTCCAGAAAAGAAAGTCTTCTAAAAGCTCAGTGTAAAGTTTCTACTTGTGTGTATGTGGGGGGGGGGGCAACAGAAGACCCTGTGACCCTCTCCAACCCAGCGCTGGCCCTGGTTTCCATAGAAATGGTGAGTTTGATGGGGGTGGGGGGGTGCGCATGCTCAGTACAGTGCTGCATGCTATATGCATCCTGCGCATGCGCAGTTTCCCTCAATGCCATTTCCCATGGAATCCTCAGCCACTCACCCATGCGCATACTTTCTCCTTTCTTCTCCCTCCTCTTTCTCTCATCCTCTCCTCCCTTCTCTTTTCTCTCATTCTCTTTCCCTGCCTGCTCTTTCCTCCTCTCTTTCTGCCCCACTCTCTCCCTTCTCCCCTCTCCCTCTTTTCTTTCTCCCCCTCCCCTCTCATTCTCTTCCCTCTCCACTTCTCTCCCTTTTCCTTCCTCTCCTCTTCTTCTTCCCCTCTCTCCTCTATTTCTCCATCTCCACTTATCATTCTCTCTCCCTCCTCTTTACCCTCTTTCCCTTACCTCCCCTCACACTCCCTCTCTACTCTTTGCCCTCTACCTCCACTCTTCCCCTCTTCTCTCCTCTCCCTCTTTCCTCCTTGTTCTCCCTCTCTTCTCTCTCCATTCTCCCTTTCCCCCTCTCATTCTTTTCTTTCTCCCCTTTCCTCTTCCTCCTCTCCTCCTCTCTCTCCATCTCTGCCTTTTCTCCCTCCCTCCTTTCTCTCCTCTCTCTCCTCTCTCCTCTTTCCCTCCTTTCTCTCTTTTTCCATGCAGAATTTTGTCAGGACAAGTTGGGGGGAAATTGGTATGCGGTGTTCATTGCTGCTGTATAAATATATACAAGACCTTCCAGTGGACCTTACAAATGTCAAAGTGTTTGCTCTTTAGACTACTTTGTCAATATTTATTTAGCATAAGCTCCTTGCGCTTTGAACAGGGATCCTGGCTTTCTGGAGACAATGTTAACTGGGGATGTAAATCTGGCCAGCATTCCTGAGCAAGTGGAGCTCAGAGGCACACAGCTGGGGCTCTAGAAGAATAGATCCAGAGGCTCTGAGCCCTAAGCGCACCTATGTATCAATGGACACAAGGATTTCCCCCTCTCCCACTCTCTTGTATTCCGGGACTCACGTTATTCCATACTGAAGCTAACCTTGCATCATGTGCTAGAGCTGGTGGTCTTGCGAACACACCAAAGGAGGAAAGGATTGGCAAGATGCCTAACTATCAGCAACTCAATTCACCAAGTCTGCCTTATTTGCAGATATATTGACCAAATGTGGTCAAAAATACCAAGAAAAATGTAAAGATTCAACAATAATTTGTGCCAGGCCTATCATCCTAACTGCTCAGGAAGCTGAGATCTGAGGATCGCAGCTCAAAGCCAGCCCAGGGAAGGGAAGTCAGTGAAACTCTTATCTCCAGTAAACAACCAACAAAAAGCCAGAAGTGGAGCTCAAGTGGTAGAGAGCTAGCCTTGAGTAACAACATTAAGAGACAGCACCCAGGCCCTGAGTTCAAGCTCCAGTACTCTTACCAAAAACAAAAACACAAAAAAACAACAATCAAACAAAAAACCCCACAGGATAGAGTAGAGTTGAAAGAGATGGGAACAATGATGAAGGGATGGCATTGATCAAGATGCACTGTTCTCCAAAATGGACAGTGAAATCGAAAGCCATTTGTGAGCTGGGAATATGTCTTAGTGAAGAGTGTTTGCCTAGCATGCATGAAGCCCTGAGTACCACATAAACAGAAAAGGCCAGAAGTGGACAGTGCTATGGTTCAAGTGGTAGAACAATAGCCTTGAGCAAAAGAAACTGGGGGACAAAAAGGAAAAGAAAAGAAAGAAAACCAACTACTTAAAAGTTAATAAGAGAAATAATAAAGTTAAAACAAAATAAAGAAAACCAAAGTAACAACTCTTTCACTACGTTTGGGAATAACTCGACTCTGAAAATAATCTTGAACACTGAGCTTTAAAAACTTGCATGAGGCCTAAAAATGGTAAAGTCTTGGACCATGGCTCATGCCTATAATCCCAGCTATGAAGAAAGTTAAGTAGAAGATTAGGTGGTGCAAGGCCAGGCTGGGCCAAAAGTTAGCAAGACCCCTTCCCATCTTAACAAAGAAGCCAGATACGGTAGCTCACACATGTGACCCCAGCTATTGGAAGACATTGGTAGGAAGATTATGGTCCCAGGCTGGCCCAGGCAAAAGCACAGGACAATATCTAGAAAATAGCTAAAATAGAAAGGGCTGGAGATATGGTAATCAGGTATGGTATCAAGTGATCAGAATGCCTGCTTAGCCAGCATAAGGTCGAAGTATAAATCCCAGGACAAAAGTAGACATGAGTCATAGAGTAAAGGCTAAAAATCTTTGTTGTTTGATTTTTGTTTGTACTGGTCCTGGGACTTGAACTCAGAACCTTGTGTTCTCTCAAGGCTCTCAAGGCTAGGACTCTAGCACTTAAACCATATCTCCATTTCGGGCTGGTTAATTGGAGATAAGACTTTACCCAAGCTGGCTTTGAACTGTGATTCTCAGATCTCAGCCTCCCGAGTACTGGGATTACAGGTGTGAGCTACCTGCACCCAGTGGTGAAAACCTTTCATCTCCTCCATGTATTTTCTGATGCCTCACAGAAGTAGATCATCGGTGCATATCTGGTCAGAATACCCACCCCCCTCCTCCTCTCCATCTCCATTTGTGGTAGACCTTGGATCAGGAACAGAGAGAGAGGGCATGGAAACTCTGCCGTCACTGTCTGTTTGGAAATTACCTAAATTACCCTAAAAGGCTGGTGGCTCACGCCTGTAATCCCAGCTTCTCAAGGAGGCTGAGATCTGAGGATCTCAGTTCAAAGCCAGCCTAGGCAAGAAATGCCTGTGAGACTCTTATCTGCAATTACAGAAAGCCAGAAGTGGAGCTGTGGCTCAAGTGGTAGTACGACACAATGTTACCTAAGGGGTAGATGGGCTTGCAGAGACTCTGATCCCTTACCACCATGTTGGTTTTGGCATTCCAGTGGCTAGCATTACCCACTGCCTATACCCACAAGGAAAAGTGCCTGGCTTTACCATGCTACTGAGTGTCTTGGACATTGATTAGGAAACTCCTGCTGATATTTAACTTCCTTGCTTGAATTCTTGAAAGACAAGGTCCTTGTACCTTGGGACTTGCACACAGTAGGAGAGCAATAGATCTTCCATATCTCCTTTGGGGGGGAAAAAAAAGATCGTGAGCTTCGGCTCACTCACTGAGTTGTGTCTTTCTAACAAGATCCATCTCTTCTCTGTCTCCTCTAGCTCTAGCCTGGTCCAGCCAATCAACAAGCATCTCCCACTTCTCCTCCTCAATCAGCACCAGCTCTCCCCCCTCCCCCGCCACCCTCAACTCCAACTTCAGCCCCTTTTGATGAAGAGGCTCAAATAGAAACCTCTGGAATTGGTTCAGAAGGGCTGGTGTGTGTGCAACACACATGCAAATTCCCAAGTGATCTCTGAAGGAAGTTTAGATTTCTCAAAGTTTAGATTGCTGTCTTCATTTGACTCTGCTTCCTTTCCAGCTTCCTGCTCAGAGTCTAGAACTGAGGCCACTCACCATGTGTCATCCCGGCTTCCCTGCTGAAGCCCCACGTGGGATTCGGAAGGAGAAGCCAGGATGAAGCCAGCTGATCCCGCTCTGGGCCAGCCTCCCCTCCCCTCTCAAAAAAAAAAAAAAAGCCAACTCTTGTTCCATAAGCACCTTCTCTCTTCACGCTAGAAAGCACGCCGGTGAAATCACTGCTCACAGCCAGATGTGCCATGTCTGAACCCAACTGTCCGCCCTGGGGGGGAGGGGCACGGGGTAGAACCAGCCCTCCCTGCCCCCACAACTCCCCTCTGCTCTCAGGACGTGGCTGCTCTAACCTGCCAGATGGACACACTGATGCAGCTTCTATTATTGAAGAACACACCTGAGGCTGGACAACTTTAGAAAGACAATCAAATAAAAAGAGTTCTAGAGCTCATAGTTTGGGAAACTGCAAATTCAAGCAGCCCCATCCCTAAATAGGCAAAAGACGTGGCAAATGGCAGAAATGGGGGAGGATAAAAAAAAACCCAGCTCAGAATAGGAGGCCAGAGAGTACTTCAAGCATGAAATCAGCATCCCAAAAGAATAATCTTAGTGGGTATTTTGTTTGTTTTGTCAGTGGTAGGGCTTGAACTCAGAGCTTGGGCCTGTCCCTGAACTCTTTTGCTCAAGGTTAGAGCTCTACCACTTTGAGCCACAACTCAACTTCTGTTTTTCTGGTGGTTCATTGGAGATAAGTCTCACAGACTTTCCTACCTGAGCTGGCTTTGAAGAGAGATCCTCAGATCTCAGCCTCCTGGTTAGCTAGAATAACAGGTGTGAGCCACCAGTGCCTGGCATGCATGTTAGTGTTTTAGTTTATTTTTTGTTTTGATTTTATCTTGGTGCTGGTCCTTGGGCTTGAACTCAAGGCCTGGGCACTGTCCCTGAGCTTTTGTGCTTAAGGCTAGCATTCTACCACTTGAACCACAGCTTCACTTTTTTTTTCCAGTACTGGGGCTTGAACTTATGCCCTTAGCTTCTTTCACACAAGGATGATGTTCTACCACTTGAACCACAACTCTGCTTCTGGCTTTTTGCTGGTCAACTGGAGGTAAGAATCTCACAGACTTTCTTGCCTGTGTGACTTCCAACTGTGATCCTTAGATTTCAGCCTCTTGAATAGCTAGGATTACCAGAGCTTGGCTCTCCCACAAAAAGACAATCCTAATGCCTTCTGGGAGCAGGGTCCCAACTCACCAAAGGATATACTTCCTTCTAGGTTCCTGCTCTTAACGACTCCATGCCTCTTAAAATATCTCACTAGAGTCAAGTCTCCAACACAGGACACTAGGAGGTCACACTGAAACCATTCCTGCCCCAGAGCCCTGGACCTCAGTAGCTTCTTCCTCATCTCTTCAGGCGATAGACAAATGAGCCCCTATCACAGAAGACATCGTCAAACTTCCTACATAGCAACCTAAATATCCGAGATGGGTCCAGACTCCATCACTCCCAGAGCAGAAATAGGCTGGGTGCTTTATACTCAGTTCTTTCTGATGCTGCTCTCTCTGCCTGTGACTGTGATTTCTCAGCTTTACATTTGGTGGGGGGCGGGGAGGGTCTCTGGGATGGAAAGCATTTGGAATCAGTGGCTAAGGATGAGAGGAGAAAGCAACTTG